AACCAATGAGCACATTTGCTTGAAGTCTCATTGACATGAATTTAATTATACTGAATAAAATTGTCAGTGACAGTAATTGCCCCCCATGATTGGAGTTTAGCTCAATACAGCCACACCAATCAAGGGAGACAATTATTACCAAGGATTTCTTGACCTAATTATGCCTTCAATTCCAATCAAGGGAGACAATCATTGCCACTGACTTCCTGACCTAAACATGGCTGCCACTCCAATCAAGGGAGATAATTATTGCCAAGGATTTCTTGACCAAATTATGCCTGCAATTCCAATCAAGGGAGACAATTATTGCCACTGATTTCCTGACCTAAACATGGCTGCCACTTCAATCAAGGGAGACAATTATTGCCACTGATTTCCTGACCTAAACATGGCTGTCACTTTAATCAAGGGAGACAATTATTGCCACTGATTTCCTGACCTAAACATGGCTGCCACTTTAATCAAGGGAGACAATTATTGCCACTAAATTCCTGACCTAATTTTGCCTCCAATTCCAATCAAGTGGGACAACTATTGCCTGTCATTTCTTGACCAAAACAAACAATGTAGCCATTAGTTTCATCAACAGAGACAATTATTTCCAATCATTTCTTGACCTAAACATGGCTCTAACCTGCATGGGAGACAAACATTGCCAATGATTTCCTGATCTGAATACAACTTATAATGAAATCAAGGAGGACAACTACCGTTATCTAAACATGGGTACCAGGTAAATCAAGGGGGACAACTATTACCAATCATTCCTTGACCTGGTATAAAAAATTTCTTATTTTTTTACCTTGAATATCATTAATATTTTGTTTAATAAAGGGAGACAATTACAAAGAAAAAAAAATTTCAGAATAATCTAAGACACAATGTTTGTAAAAAACAACCATAAACACTGCATTATACAAAAAAATACAAGGAAAAAAAACCTCCATTACTATATTAATAGTCAGATGAAAAAAAATATGATACTCAGAAACTCAACGCCATACATTCATTTGAGAAAAAAGCAAGCAAATTCTGTATTGTAAGTATAAATGTTGCCATGGAAACTGGATTAGTGTTTCCTGAGCTTCTATTATTCCACAATATTACAAATAATGGACATAACACCTTGAATTGAGTTGTCAAGAACTATCCCTTGTTATACTGAGTGATATATTGTACAATGGTCATACTTACAGGAGTGGTGTCAATTCAATCAAACAATTTTTTCTTACGTTTTATATAAGTTTATATAAGTTGTTATGTCTACATTCAGTCAATGTTCATTTTTATTTTTTGTTTCTTTTGATACTGAACTTTTTTCAGATGAAATTGTTAAAGGGACTCTGAAGAGGTCCAAATGCCTAAAACATAAAAATTGAAATTTTTAGAATACTTGAATGTTTCCTGCAAATAATGGCTGAATCAGTTGTGTTTTATCAACATTTTTCAAGCACATTAAATGTACTTATTTTATGTAATTCATGTGAAAGTTATCAAATAAGCCTTAAAGTTTGTCACAACAGTATGGAGTCAAGCCAGACATCTGACCATGCTCTTTAACTGTAATGGTAGCTCAAGTGTTGCATTTCTGAAACTGAAAACTTTGAATGTACTGTAGTAGAAAAATGCCTTAAAAATCAGTTTAACAAACTGCAGATTTAAAGTTTTAAAAACAATATGAAGATTTATACTTTTATAAAACAATCTGCAAATTAACACTCTTTTTTTTAAACAATCTGCAGATTTTCACTTTCATAAAAAATCTGCAGATATTCATTTAAAAAAACCAATAATGCAGATTTAAAGTTTTTAAAACAATCCGTGTATTTTAAGTTTAACAATAAACTTAAAAACAATCTGCCGATTTTTAATTACAATTTGCAGATTAATCTAAATTAAATAGGATGAGCATGGTACCAGTTTTGTGATATCTTGTAGACAATAAAAGAGGCCAACGTGGATTAAATAACATCCAGGCAAGTGCCAAAAACACGTCAAAACAAATATGAGATTTCTTGCCCAATTGTTTCAAAATATGGGGTAAAGGGTATCAATTTATCAATTTATATCTCACCTTGAATGGGAATAGTAGCATTAATAGTAATTTGAGTTACTTAAAACCACAATCAGTCACGTTAAACATTTACATTTGTATAAATTAAAATGACTGTTGCTGTTCGCAGCTCTATTTTTCTTTTTTGATATTTTAGTTATATTATCTACACAGTGTGTCTGGTTTGACTTTACCATTAACCGGCTGAAACCTGACATGATTCACCTTAATTATTAACTGGCTGAAACCGGATGTGATTCACCTTAACCGTCAACCTACTGAAACCAGATGTGATTTGCCTTTGTCAGTACCTATATTGAGCTAGGATAGCCTGCACATCAATGCGGTCTGAACGGCTCAATCTTTACTGTTGGCTTACATAAACTTTTCATTTTCATCTTGATATCCCAAAAATTCATACAGACACATTTAAAGGTACATTATGTCAAGTACTTCCTGCTGTAAAAAGGGCAAATATGAGTTTTATATTGTTTGGGTAATGGTTTAAAAATGTGTCAGATGCTGGACACCTGAAGCAAGTAGCACTGAATGTGAAATTAATGGTCATGAAAGTAGCAGAATGTGAACAAAGTAGTATTTTGACTTCTGTACAAATCACTATAATTATCTTTACTTTAATTGCCAAAAAGCAACAGAAGAAAAAGAGGAATCCGGTGATTGGCCAATGAGTACTCATAACTTTCTTGAAAATATAACCGAACATCAAAAATAAAATGCCTTTGAAAAATTAATAACAAAAGTATTTCTGAGGCATAATGGGCCTTTAAAAAATTTGGTAAGTTAAGGGTTGAAACCTGCAACTGTCACCAAATAATAAAAAAAAATAAAAAAAATTTTCATGAAAAATTAGCATATACCTGGACTGGCGTGTGGCATTAATCAATTAAATCATAATAGCATGTGATCTGTTAGATACAAAATTCTCTACTTTATTTCATACAATAATCTGGCATTGCATCAACAGACAGTACAATAATCCTCCAATATAACTTAATCTTCTAGATTATCATCTAATCCGTGTCATTATCAAACATTTCAATAATGCCTATTGTTTTATATCTAAATCTGATATCAATCACCAAATATCCAAATGTAATATATAAACTAACAATTTCAAGCATCTAGATCCATTTATGCTTGAAAAAAAGTCTGCACAACGTTAATTATATTATTTGATAATAATTTTTTATTGTGACAATAGGAAAATGTGTAAAATTTCAATGTTTCAATAATTTTTGGATTACTAAATTAATTATACCGATTTAAAGGTAGAATTTTCTTCAATTATAATCTAATCATAGAAAATGTTTGTTTTTATCTTTACTTATTTATCTCATTACTTATTTGTTTAATTATATTTATTATTATTATAATATTATATTATCAAAATTATGATACTCAGTGAATTATTATTCCTTTCCTATCCCATATGCTTAAACTATCAATATATTCTTGTAAAAGCCCGACTTCACTGAGGTTTTTATGACAAATTGTTTTTACCCAGATTTTTTTTATACCATTTCATTTTGATGTAGATGTGTACCATTAAATAAATTGTGTAAAAGACTTTCAAATCATTTGCTCACTCTGTTTTTTAAGAATAATCATTTTTATTTTGAAAAATTACCTAAAAATAAAACCATTTAAACGCTAATTTAACTCTAATCGATCCAGCTAAGAAACACACCCAAATATTGATTTTTAATCTAATTCTGATCGAGTTAATGTATATTTCTTAATTATCTTTTTCATAATTATTTTTCAGTAGTTGATCTCTGTAAGAATTTCATATCTCATGCTTTTTAAATTAGCTAAGTTTCCCTGACTTGAGTGGAAGTCCTTGTAATGTGTTTCAGCTTTAAAAAAATATAGTAAAATGCATCATTTACTTATAAATAATAACCCTTTAGACTCCCAAATCAAGTGGTCGAAGTTCAATCCTCCACTTAAACTCCAACTTAAAATTAATAATTATAACTATTAAGACATTAGTCCTGTACGCAGTATATCAAATGGTCATTTTCTTCATTTACCGATAACTCTTACCACAGTAAAGCTGCATGCCTCTAGATGAGCCAAAATATTCCAAGAGAAAAGAGTACTAAGATTTTTAAAAAGTTAATTGATTCAAGTTATAATTTACATGTTATGTGCGATTAATGATTTGATTTTGACGTATTTATCACCATATTTCTTAACTTTGTGACTTAAATGCAGTAAGACTATTTTTGCATCACCGCTTTTTGTTTAATTTACGTAGAATGAATAATGTAAGTGTCATTTTGCAATGTGTAAGTTGCTTTTAGGTGACTATAAAATAATTTTACTTTTAGATACTTTTTCCAAAATTTTACATGAAAATTAGCATGAATCTGTAGGCATGCTGCAATGAACTTCTAGACAAATTCATTCATTTTTTTCAGGGAAAATTTCAAAATATCGAGAGCTGATCGCAAACTGTTGTGAGTCCATCTTAATTTCATAAAACTTACTTCAGTTTTGCAATCAACCATTGATATGTACTGACTTGAATAGCCAACAGTGCCACCTATATATTGGCTATATATAAATGTATTTTGAATTAAACATTTTCTAAGAGTTAATAAAAACTGGGTTTTTTTGTCTTTATTCATAGGTTATACCAATTTATTTGAAGACATACAAGACAGTTCAGGATTGGAAAATTCATTGGACTACAACAACAGAGTTAATGCTTACTTAATGCTCAAGGGAGTGAACTCTTTTGATAAAAGTTAAAGGGATTGAACACTTTTGATAAACTTAAAGGGAGTGAACTCTTTTGATAAAAGCTAAATGGAGTGAACTCTTTTGATAAAAGCTAAAGGGAGTGAACTTTTTTGATAAAAGCCAAAGGGAGTGAACTCTTTTGATAACAGCTTAAGGGATAAAAGTTAAAGGGAGTAAACTCTTTTGATAAAAGCTTAAGGGAGTGAACTCTTTTGATAAAAGTTAAAGGGAGTGAACTCTTTTGATAAAAGCTAAAGGGAGTGAACTCTTTTGATAAGAGCTAAAGGGAGTGAACTCTTTTGATGAAAGCTGAAGGGAGTGAACACTTTACATCAAACCTAAATATGCTCAGACCTTTTGAAAGCATAATTTTAGAAAAATTTATTGCTAAAATAAGGAATTTGAAGAAATCATAGAAAAAGTCTCAATGAAATTTTTAATGAGAAGCACGCATATTTTTAAAACCAAAAAGGAAGCAAACTGCTTTAAAGAAGAAGTTGTAAAGTCTGCATATTCTCAAGCTGATACAGAGGATTATTTTTTTTCCCTTATAGAACTGCTGACAGTTTGGCATAACATAAAGTTTAATGCGCATTAATTCCCCTGCAAGTGAAGTGCATTTCTGCAGAGGGGTTTAATTGAAATCTTTCCTAATTCAGCTTTTATACAATTGTTATTCAATACGCGTTACAGACTGGGATTTTCGTATGATCGACATATGGAGAATGGTTCTATGACAGGAACGATTAAGCGTTAAAATCCTCCGATAAAGACATGCTGAAGAAATTCACTTGATTTTTGTTTTATCAGGAGGGGATTACAAGGTTCAAGCCACCATAAAGCAAAAGTCTTGAAAATATCCTAAGTCTGTATTACCTTAAATTTCCCCTCTACCAACAAAACTGCATTTAATACCTTTAATTCTACTCAATAAACTTCTGTTATACAAATACAAAGAGAATTTAAATTAAATTAAGCCATAAAAATATTTAATCATGAATACACCAACATTAAACCCTCGAGATTTCGAGTATTTAACACAGAGCGATCAGGAGTACCTGTATACTATTGAAAGATTGTATCTACTGAATAGTGGTAAACTCAAACACTTCCATGTGTTAGGTCCTTGGCACCAGGTCACGTCAAGTCAGTTAAATAAAATCGTTGAACGTGTAGCAACTCCAAATCCTCGTCCGTGCTCAAGGGGACATGTCAAAGGTTTATGGTGTGTTGAAGACCCGGATTATTTAACCGGACCAAAAATATTAAAATATAAAGGATCAGAAGGAAGCACACCAAGGAGCGGTTCGTCTACACCGAAATCTTCAAGGAAAGTTAAGATTCAAACAACGCCAAGAAATAAATACTCGGTTCCGAGAAAGTATCAAATAGTTCCTAAACCTACGCCTTGGATTATAATGGAACCATCAAAGAAGAAGAATTTTATCGTTGACGACCCACCAGATCCATCATACACCGATAGACAAAAATCAGCGAGCTTGCCACGCTCGGCTCAAACCCGCAGGTCAACAGCGACAACTCGGCCGAGCACTGGTGCCAGCTCGAGGTACATCACAAGCCAGTACAGCGTTACGGTCTCGCACAATGAACTTAACGCTATTGTTGAACGAGTGACAAAACCAACCCATGCCAGCAAAGGGGGCGTAGATCTTCAAGAAAAATTCAGGTAAATACTTAATATTTACTTTTTTTTTTAAATATTAATACTTTCTTTTAATTATCAAAATTTTTAAAAATTAAATTTTTGGATTTACTTTTTCTCAGTTTTGCAGGGTTTTTATTATTTTTTTTACTTCTACTGACATTTTAACATTTACAAGAAAAAATATATTAAAAAGAAATTTAAGTGGAAATAAATTTTACGCAGTCAAGTAACTATTAACTTTATATGTTCAATTAAAAAAAGTGAATATTATAAATTAAAATACAATTAGTTAAATCATAACTGTGTGACTTGAAGAATTAATTAATTTTAAACTAAGATACAGTTTGATAAGCCCAAAGAAGCGTTATAAATGATCATGAAAAAGGAAGATATATAAGTTAAATTATTTTTATTTTAAAATCATATTAGTACCATAATTTCAAATATGAGAAAGTGACAAAAAATGAACAATTTTTTTCCCAAGCTTTACACTTGAAAATATGACGTTTTTCAAATTATATTTCTAACTTTGGTTTAACTTTAATAATGTAGAAGTTAGGTATCAGACACAAAAGTATATCAGCGTAAAAAGCGTTTAATTTACGCACAGATTTAAAATGAATGAAATATGTAACAAATAACGAAATCCTTATGACATTGCTATCTTTGAATACCCTTTATTTACACAGTTATAAAAACTTTTAAAAACAGGGCTTTTGAAAAATAAAATAACTTCTTTTAATTCTTCAAGGGTATGCTATAAATTGTGTCTTTATTTGAACGTTTTCTTTTCAAAATATTTATTATACCCTGCTTGTACATGACTTTAATACTCTTTTTGTCAATTTTTTTTTCCAACTATTTATTATACTTGGTGTTAAATTGTATAAAGTAATACAAATATATGATATTTGAACAGAACCAAATAAAGACCCATTAAAATGCTAACCTGTTTTCCTTTGCTTGATTTTGTCAAATACCAGTATATTGTAAATATGTTGATTTCACACGACTGTTTTTAGAACTAATTATTTAGGAAGGAAATGTTAAACGTGAAAACGGGTATAAGAGAGGGCCGTAAAAATTTTAATGTGGTGCTATCAATGTGTGCTAGCTAGCTGCACTATAAGTGATGCGCTGTTCTAATGGGTCTGAATAAAAGATATAAAAATTTCAGTGATTATAATATGAAATTCACTGTGTCCTATTTTGTAATAATGCATTCAAAGTTTAGTTTGCATTGTGAATGGTTACAGGCACAATATGACTAGTACCTCTGGGTTCGTACGGACAGACTGGTAGGGGACTAAAAAGAATTATTTTTTCAATGACCAGCTTATAGTCTTATGCAATCATTTGCCCGCCTTAACGCGTCACACAAATTATGTTACGTCAAAATATATGCACGGCCGTGCAATAAATACTGTTTATACTGAGTCACAAAAGCTGCACGGGTATGTGATAAAAGTTATTCATTACCACCATCTTCTAATGATGTTGTTGTCACTTAAACATGCTTTAGGTTAATTAAGAAAATTACAATAAAAAAATAAACATGGTGACACAGTCTACTTTTCAAAATTACCATTGAAAACATTGTGACACAGTCTATCATTGATTGGAGACTGGTTCATCAATACAATCTTTAATTATACACGGCCATGCAGTAATGTTTGAAGCTACCGACATTGATTAGCAAGCTACATTTGAGCCGTGTCATGACAAAACCAACATAATGGGTTTGCGACCAGCATGGATCCAGACCAGCCTGCGCATCCGCGCAGTCTGATCAGGATCCATGCTGTTCGCTTACAACTCTATAACAAGTAGAGAAACTGATAGCGAACAGCATGGATCCTGATCAGACTGCGCGGATGCGCAGGCTGGTCTGGATCCATGCTGGTCGCAAACCCATTTTGTTGGTTTTGTCATGACACGGCTACATTTTAAGTATACAGTTTCCAAATAAAGATGTACACTGGTATCTCGTGATAACCTGATATAGGCCAATTAGTTAATGGGAAAATTTACTTTATCTATTACAGTTTATGTCTCCTGGTCATTCTAACATTGATTACTCTAAAACCTTGTTTAAAAAATCGAACAGTATGTGGCTACCATCAAACTGAGTTAGATTGACACCTCGCACTGCCGCTTTCTAAATCCGTAATCAATTATGGAGAGCCTAAAATTTGAAGGTGTTTTTTTTCACCGGTTTCTACAACCGTAATCAATTATAGAGAGCCTGAAATTTGAAGGTGTTTTTATTTTTCCACCATCATTACACTGTATTCATGGATTGATTATAAACGTAAGTCTTGAAAAATTGTCAGTTAATAAGGAAACTGTATAATGGATCATTATGGCTTTAAATTTGAAATTTTCTATGGTTTTAATCCAATTGCAATACATGTTTATACCGGTAGTTATCAAAATGATAAAAGTAACCAGCTTAATAAGCACGTTTAGAGTAGAGATACTCCGGAAGTACGCAAAAAAATGTTAGGTTTTTTTATATCGTGACAACCATTTGATAAATATATCGATAATAAGTGAAACACTATTATCTGAATGACATTGTGAAGGGTAGTGCTCTGAGATGTTATGATGGTAAATTAGAACCCTGGGGAATAGATCGGAAAAACCCACCTTTGCTGAGTTATGGATACTAGCATCTTATTACAGCATGGTAGTCAAATACCTTGCCAAACTGTTTTATGTCTGATCACTTTCATTGTAATACCTTATTAAGGCAATATTAAAGACTTAAAGATGTTCATCCATATATTCTTTAAAGGCCCAAAGATGAATTTTTCCTCCAATGAAAGAAACTTTAAAGACCCAAAATTGACTTTTGTCTCCACTATATATAAGAGATAAGAAAAATTAAAAGCCAAATGCTGACTTTTATCTGTTCTGGCAAACACAAAACTTTCAGAAGACCTGTTGAAATTTGGTAAAAACAAAATAAAGAAAGATTCTTTATTTTCTATCATAAAGCCTCAAAAATATATAATTTTTGACTTTTTAAAATACATAAACAATAAGTTTATTTTAAACTTAAAATTGCATTGTAATATTCACTGGGTGCACACGCAATTTTGTTTACATTCTTTCTGCCACGTACGTCCTTTATGGCAAATAATCAAATAAACATTTTTAATTGGATTAAACACTTGTCATTTTTCCAAAATTAAAATCTTTTAATAAGTACACTATTTGATGAGTAAAGACCACTCCCATTTTAAGGAAGATTTTTTAACAATATTATTCAATAGGGAATTATCAGATACTAACAGCAAATACATAAATAATAACTTTTCTATGCAACCAACTTTAATCAGTGTGCACTTCCTTAAAGGAACTCCACTGAAGTCCAAAGGTCTAAAAAGTAAAAAGATAAAATTTGAAAAATTAAGAGAAGCACTTAAAATTGAAAACTCTGCAAAGGAAAGAGACAGGCTGCTAGGACAAACAACAATTTATCTGCCGAAAAAAACTGGTTTAATTACATCTTATTAAAGCCCATTATTTTTCTAATTTTTCAAAAGTTTCCTTTTTTTAAATTTTGTTGTACTTTTATAGTTTCCAAAAAAAATAATACTTTTTGGTCAAATTTACCGTAACCATTTTTTTCTTTAAATTTTGCTTTTGGCAATTAGATTTAGTATTTTGTATGCATTTGTCAAAATGACCTCTCTGTTTACAATTTTATGACAAATGATTTCACATTTAGTGAGCTCTACTCTCTACATGTACATAAAACATTTACATCTAACATGCTATAAAACAATATTATTCAAATATTATAAAATTCATTTATTCCTTTTCTGAAGAAGTAAAAATGTTCCTGTCTCAGGCCCTTGACTCTTTTAAATCTGAACTCAAGTAACTCAAACACTGTAAATTTAATTGCTGATTGCCGTACATAGATTACTATATCATATTTCAGAAGTGATTAAGTCTAATATATTTGCGTATAAAGAGGTATCAAGATTATTTTACAAATAAAATCCATTAATTTAGAGTGTGATACCTATCTTGAAACATTGATAAATATCAAAGTATATAGAGAACATTGTCAAATTTTTATGTCAGATTTTTTTTCTTCTTTTTTTTTTTTTTTTTTTTTAGGTGGCGGGGGGTAGGGGGGGGGGGTAGGGGTGTATATAAGTCACACTGACTCTGTTAAGGTCATATGGTGGCTTTCCAGTTTTACTGATGGGGAAATACACATTAAAAGTGTCCCTCCATGCATTATTTCACATACAACCTGGCATCAGAGTTATAATTAACCCCTGACCTTCCGATATATATAATACTAGCAGGTAGACAATTTTAATATAATATGCATTACCTCCCATTCTGAAGGGACTCAACATATATAAGACTTTTTTTTGGGTTGGGTATTTTTCGTCACACAAACACATTAAAGGTCATAATTATGGTGAGTTGCAGCTTTACTGGTGAAGGAAGACCTCACATGCCACTATGTATATCATTTAAGACACAAATGGGCACCTGAGCTAAGGACCAAAGACATTCTGCAAGCTATCTGGTTAGATTTCTCACATGAAGAATCCAAAGACTCTGGCGCATCTTGAACCTACAGTGGGGTTAGGCAAGTGGTTTGAAGTCAACAAACTTAACCACTCAGCCAGGGATGCCCCTCTGTAGCAGATGCATGCTTGTACCTTAACTTACATAACTATTCCTAATCTCAGAAACATACTTATAAAATTATTTCCTATTTTTGTTTTTTATTTTTAGAAACAAAGATTACGTCTACGGATCAAGGACCTGTACTCCAAATATCAAACATATTGCTCAACCAACCATATCGAGTAATGGCGGTAAGGACATCGCAGAAAAGTTCGAGAACAAGGATTATGTTTATGGATCAGGAACAGTAACTTCGGAAAAACTAGATACAATCGTTAGCAGAGTTACCCGTCCTACTGTTGCAAGTTCTGGAGGGGCTGGACTAGAGAGAGAGTACACCAATTTTATCTACGGTGACCAGAAAGTATCGAAAGATGAAATGCAAGGAATAACGGAACGTATGACTAAACCAACTGTTTCGAGTCGAGGAGGGGTCGATTTACAGGATAAGAAATTTGAATACATAAAACCGGCAAAAGTAAAAACAAACATCATAATTCCAGGTCTTGATCAGAAATTTATCGGACGGAGAAAATTGTCGCAAGAGGAGTTGAATCAAATAGTTGACAGACTTTCGCAACTTACTCCTGCATATAAGGCAAAATTTTCCGTCAATCCTCATGTATGGAAGGACGAATCAGCCAGAACTGGCCCCGCCCACCAGAGGGAGGGTATAGCCACTTAATACGGACTTTAGTGTACAAGTGCATCTATTAGAAACAAACTAACTATTCATCTATATTAAATTTGAGTGCTAATGATTAGAGTGAAATGATTTCGCTATGGTTATTAATAATAGAATAAGGTCAGGTGGAAGAGTCATCAAGCCTCTGACTTATTTTAACTCAGTTTACTATCGACTGATAAGATTTCATGATTGAGGCTTAATATACAATTCCAAATATGAGGCAACTTCAATCATTCTTCATTTTTTATGCAAAAATAAGAAAAATGATTAAACATAATGTTTCTATAAGCACCAAATAAGTATAGTGAAGTCATTTGTGTGTTTTAAAGCTGCATGCCTCCAGATGAGCCAAAATATTTCAAACTTGTGCTAAAATTTAAGACAAGTAAAAGATTCAATATTCATCAGGTATAATTTACATGTTCTGTGCGATTTATGACTGATTTTGCGGTATTTATCACCATATTTCTACACTGTATTATGAATGGCTATTTTTGCATATTTTGACCTCTTTTTGGTATTACTGACTTGGATTTTACAAGGATTGTAAGTGCCATTTGCAATGTGTAAATTATTTTCTTTGTTCACTTCACAATATTTTACTTTTAAATACATTTTCAAAATTTTCATGAAAATTTGCTTAAATTAGAGGCATGCAGTTGCTTTAATTAAAGTTTAGTACATATTATAGTGATAGATAACATTTTGAATCAATCAGTTAATACCAGAGTGAGTGATTCACACTAAATATTGTGCTTATCTATTTATTGACACAAAAAAGTGAAATTCGTTATCAATGTATTCAAAAGCACACATAACACACAAAATTCTCCTACATTAAGTTTAGATCAAAACGACCTAAATCATTTTTATCAAGATTTATCACAGAATAATTTAATTTAACTTTAATCATTTTGCATTTCTGTAAATGAAAATTTCTTTTACATGTTTCTCCAGTTTAAGAAAATGCGAAAGAAATATGACCAAAGTAAAATTGATTTTATTTAGGTTAAATATTCTAAAAGGGTTCCATGCAGTCTTAAGGACTGGCATTTTTTGTAGTGAAAATGGAATAAATATCTCATAAAGAAGTGGATTTTTATAAAATTCATTATCATATGATATCAGTTAAATGGAATGTATTTAAGGCAAGTCCATTAAATTTACACAAATTCAGCACAGTTTAGTGTAAAAATCTTATCATTCTGTAAATGTTGCAAGAAAACTTCTCACAAAACAACACATTTAAAAAATATATAAAAAGAGTACCAATCTATGTAATTCAAGCTATATATAAGTATATTAATACCATTAAATCATCTTTATTTAATTTGTTTGTGATTAGAACTGTTTTACTACAATATACTGATATATGTATTTAATAGTGTTTGTTTTTTCCATTTTTATTTTAATGTAAAATTGATTTCAAAATTTATCAGTCTACATTCTTGTCAGAGGAAATTTTTCTTTACTTTAATTAAAAAATCATTTTATAATGCTCTTTAGATATACTCTGATCTCCCCTTATGACTAACTCTCGATCAATCTTTTTAAAATGAAATGATTTAATTGGCTGATACACTCATTCTCAAATTTGAAACTGACCAATGGTAGACTAGATTTTAAACCAGATTGTAACCAGTCCAATATCACTTCACTGAAACCAATATTTTTCTTCTGCTCTGCTACATCTTTTAAGTAAGAACATTTTGGAATGTTCTGTACCTGTCAAAATATTGACTGGTCTGCAAGTTCTAGAGATTGTTTCTTTTAGCAACATTCCAGACTGGATTACAAGTGTTGAAGCAACATTCTGCAAGAAGCTTGTAGAAATGTTCTGTATACAATTTAATGTCTATTTTCACAACTTCAGGGTGATTGTTTAGCAAATTACAGAATATTTCAAAAGTTTAAATCTGTAGGTTTCTGAACTGGGTGTGCCTAGCTGTACCCAACTATTACAATTTGAATGCATCAAGTTATAACCTGCTGGAACCGAAACAGATTACCATTTTTGGCACCACTATAAAGACAAGCCAGTCTGCACAACCAAGCGCATCTGACCTGAAACTATATAATGTTGTCCTACTTATTTTTTAAAAATAAATTTCATCTGGTTATTCCCAAATTGAACAAAGACAGGTCCAAAACAAATGGAAGCTAGTCAAGTCAATTTCTGAAATTAAGCAGGTAAAGAACAACCCAAAATAATTTCACAACAATATTTTTTTTAGATTATGTTTGTCTTGTTTATATACTTATTAGGAGTACACTTAATCTTTAGTTCTCATCATGCTTAATATCTCTAACTGGGCTATTCCATCTTTCAATCTGGACAAAACCATTCATCAATTCTTGGGGAAAATTTCCAATTATATATTTATTGAAGACCAAACATTGCAGACCATGCCAAGACGGGGTTAAAGTGCAGGCTGAGCTTGGTCTGATTCATAAAGCTCTAGTCGATGTGCATTTAAGCCAATGACGAATTACAGCTAATTGTTTTCGATTGTTTACAGCTTCTGAAACTACAGTCGACTCCGGTTATAACGAACTCAATGGGACATTAAAATATCGTTCGTTATATCCGAAGTTCGCTAAAAGCGAAGTAGCAACAACTTATGACTTGTTTGGATAGGGAAATTTGCCGTGAAAAAGTCATACATTTCACTGGTTACCTGTGTACTTCAGCAGTTATTTAATGGTTATTTAATTCGGAGCATTTTATTGAACAATATATTATGTACATGGTACATGTATTTATTCATGTAGTACTTGTCTATAAAGTATTCTTTTGCTTTTTGTTTATTATCGTTTGGTAAATATTGCAAACAAACAATTCGTAATTTGGTAATTATCGGGTATTTACAGCATTCAACTAAGGGTGCAAATACATTTTCCGTAACAAGTAGGAAATTATGTTGTGAGAACATTGTATCATTTGATTGTATAATTATCGGACAGCGTTAGTCTTGTACTGATCCTTATCGAGCGCATCCCGATATTTCAATTATAACAGTTTGTTATTACCGAGGAAATTTAAATGTTTTCCGTCATTTGGGACTTGAAGAAATGGTTCGTTATAGCCGAAAATTCGTTATAAGCGAGTACGTATTAAGCGATGTGATTTAATCTAAAATATAGAAGGAATCGGCCGGGGATGTCATATTTAGTTCGCTATTAACGATAATTCGTTATAAGCAAGTTCGTTATAAGTGGAGTCAACTGTATAGCAAAATTTCCAGACTTAGAGTCTTCTTAATTATGTACACCAGTATGTAATCTTTTTTTATAACTCAATGTCACCTTAAAACAGCCTTTTTACTGTCGATTTGTCAATCTGTCCATCTTTTATGTAATAGACAAGTACTCAGCTGACATAAAAAAGGTTTAGTGTCCAATATAAAAAAGTGCTTTGTCAGCAAGTTTTCATAAAATACTATCAAGGATACAATTAAATGAATAAATTGGACAATATGTAACATTTTTAACGGGTCTTTAACATACTGCCACAGGAGAATAAAATAAAGTGCTGTCTGCCACTTTATTATGATCCTACAGTGAACCACACTCAACCTCACGTTGTCACCTTAGTGCAGTAACTGCTATTAAATTTAGAAGGACTTATTCTGTTATTGCACTTAGGTGACGTGTTAAAAATTACCATACAGACTGTTAGAAATAATGGCAGTAAAGAATGTACGCACAATATTGTATTCAGGTGACAAGTTAGTAATATGGCAGACTTGATAAAATTGCTAACTTTGAATATCTTTCTCTTTAAACTGCGTGTTTCTGAAGGGACTGACTTTGGATTATTTTATGCAAGTGGGTAATATTTGGCTTACACCAGTATCTTGTTAGTTCTACTCTGAATGTGATTAAACGCGGCAACTGATGCGTAACCTACGCCACCAGATCAGACCAAGCTCAGCCGACTGGCTTGCACCCCATCTGGACAGGATCTGCACTGTTTGCTCTTCAGTCAGCAATAAAAATAATTTTTATTAATTTAAAAACTTTCCCTAAAAAATGATGAATGGTTTTGTCCAGATTGAAAGATGGAGTAGTCCATTTAAGATATTAAGCATGGTGGGAGCTAAATACATATTTATCATTGTGTGCTCCTTAAGTCTATAACCAGGACAAAAGTTATCTAAGAAAAGATTGTTGCGACATTATTTGGGGTTCAAACACATCACCACTGAAACAATATAGGCAGATTATCATCAGTTAAGTCAATTTCACTGTGGTAAAGTAATACGTGGGCGTTATTGTCTTTCTAACAATAAACGACATAATTTATAAGTCAGATACATAGTATAATATTGTGTTAACTTTTTACATTTTTACCCAGACCATAATTTTTGTATCTCTTATGCTGAATCAATCTATTTTTAGATTTTCATATCTATTTTTAGATTTTCATATCTATTTTTAGGTTTTCATATCTATTTTAAGATTTTCATATCTATTTTAAGATTTTCATATCTATTTTTAGCATTTTACTCAGTTTTGTGGAGTCTCAGAACAATGTAGTTGCTTACATGTATATATAAGTGTTTTTGTTGTGTTTTAGTGTAATAATTTATAATTAAATAATGAAGAAAATTCATATTCTTTGATATATAGTTTTAGTTTTCTGTTTTCATTTTCTCTGATAAAAACTAATGGATTCAACAGTGACAGTACAATTTGTTGGAGCAACCTCCAGATGCTTGCAGGAATCATGATCACAAAGCTAAAAAAATATTACTTTTTTGGCGATTCTTACATTCTCCTATTATAACTGTATATACATCGGTGTGAAGAGATGAATTAGACATTTAAAAGTGCATTTCGGCAGGTGAAACGGCGAGATTTTGGCATTTAATCATTCAATCGCCTTAAGTTCAGTTATACTCGAATATGGTAATTTATGTGGTGCTCCAACACTTTTTTTTAGTCCCACTCGAAACTAACAGTGACTAGCCAGCCTGGTACAGGCACAATATGACCTCTCAGACTATATAAACTTAAATTTTTTCATCTTGATACCCCCAAATTAATAATGAACAATTCTAAAATAAGGAAGCTGGAAAAGTCTATTTCACAATTATGGGGACATTGAGATGAAAAGTTTGAAGTCGGCCAGTCAACATAATTATCAAGCCACCCAGACCTTACTTCATACCGGGGCAACAAATGTTGATCACTTCCGATTCCAAAAGCCGGTTAAGGATTCAAATGGACAGTTTCGGATACAAATTGACTATCGTGAAACTAAAATCAAGATAAAAGTTATTTATGTAAATGATACAGAATGTACACCACAAGTAGATGCTAAATAAAGTTAATAAGGTCTATCTGCTTAGATATAAAGTCAGAACAAATTCCGCTACACGGCCTCGTGGGAAATCATTCCAAAAGTTTCCTTTCCATTTAGCCTATTCCTCCATGTATAGACAGTCTCAATGCGACCATGAGAATGGTGGCCATATCATCATTGCTGCCTATTTTACTTCTGATTCTAATTAAGATTGTGAATTCAAATTTCAGTAATGTTCATGTGTTGGCTTGATGATCTAAAATTGTAGACTTCAAATTACACACACGCTGAATTTGCCCTATTTTCATACCAGCTGAATTTTCATATCAACTGATTTTGCTCTTTACACGCTGATCTTGCTTTATTTTCATACCAGTTGAAATTGCTCTATTCTCATACTAGTTGATTTTTGCTCTATTTTCATACCAGCTGATTTTGCTCTATTTTCATAGCAGCTGGTTTTGCTCTATTAATATACCAGCTGATTTTGTTCTATTTACATACAAGTTGAATTTGCTCAATTTTCATACCAGCTGATTTTGCTCTATTTACATATCAGCTGATTTTGCTCTATTTTCATACCAGCTGATTTTGTTCTATTTACATATCAGCTGATTTTGCTCTATTTTCATTTTAGTTGATTTTGCTTTCTTTTCATATATGCTGATTTTGCTCTATTTTCTTACCAGCTTAAAGTTTGCTCTATTTTCATACCAACTGATTTTCCTCTATTTCCATACCAGCTGAATTTGCTCAATTTTCATACCAGCTGATTTTGCTCTATTTTCATACCAGCTGATTTTGCTCTATTTTCATACAGCTGATTTTGCTCTATTTTCATATCAGTTGATTTTGCTCTATTTTTATACCAGCTGATTTTGCTCTTTTTTCATACCAGTTGATTTTGCTCTATTTTTATACCAGCTGACTTTGCTCTTTTTTCATACCAGCTTATTTTGCTCTATTTTTATACCAGCTGACTTTGCTCTATTTTCATACCAGTTAATTTTGTTGTATTTACGAGGGTTGTCCAAAAAATTCGTGCACTGCAATATTCGTCGTGAGAGTTAGTGATAGAAAAACACTAATAATATATTACTTGAAAGGGAGATCTGTCTCAAATAAGAAAACACAAGAAAAAAAAAACGTGTAACCTACATAACGTGAAAACGAATCGTCATACAGTTACCTTGGTAACGTAATACTGGCGCACAACAAAAAGTTGGGTTAGTTCATTACTTTGATGCATCACGGTTTTCTTTAAACACTACAATTATTAACGTTAAAACTCAGGGAAAAGTGTGTGTAGTATTCCTAACGTCACTAGAAAATATGACGTCATTTGCCCTATTGTAACGGTCGTAAACAAACATTTTGTGTGTGGTCGTCAATACTGTAATTAAATGAAAATGTCAGTTGCTAAACGTCTGGAAATACGGATGATCAATTAATTTTGTGCAAATATTGGTAAAACACCAACAGATACTTACAAAGAACTTAAAAGGGCAAGCGGGACAAGTTCAGTGTCACGAAGGCTGGTTTTTAAATGGCACAAACGCTCTGTAGAAGGGAGAGAGTCGGTAGACGATGACAATCGGTCAGGCAGATGTCCGTCCGTAATGCCGCCGCATGTGACGAGGGTT